CGAATGACATCCCAATGTCCTCACTGTAGATCCGTGTGCTGCTTCAAGTCAGTTTTTGACTCCTAGTGACTACCAGGCCAGGTCCCTGCAGTTTTCTTGAAAAGATTTCACAAGTGGTTTGCCATTGCCTCCTTCCTAGGGCTGCGAGGGTGTGACTGGCCCAAGGTCACCCAACTGGCTTTGTGCCTAGGACAGGACTAGAAATCACAGTCTCTGGTTTTTAGCTTGATACCTTAACAACTACACCAAACTGGCTTAGTGCACTGATACTTACAGATGCTTCTTTTGATGCCTGCCAGCTCCATACTTAGCTTGATTTTATTTAAAAAACAAAATTAGCTCCATGACAGCCCTTTTATGGGAGTATCCGAATCAGATCTCATATTCCAAATGGGCCCGTGATCCAAAGTGTTTGCCTATCCTTGGCGTATATAAGATTATCCTGCTGAAACATTTGGTGCATACTAGAAAGTACTGAAAGTCATTTTTCCTATCAATTTAAAATAAGTATTATGGGTAGTTCTTGAGTTAGAACCATTTGTTCAGCGACCATTCAAAGTTACAGCGGCACCGAATAAATGGTACTTATGCCCAGTCCCCGAGGTTATGGCTGTTGCAGTGCCCCTGCGGTCACATGATCAAAATTCAGGTGCTTAGCCCACCAGCACCTATGATCATGGGGACACTTCAGCTCCCTCCACCTGCCTATCTCCTCCCATCTCTGCCCTTTTGGCTGTCCTGCACAGCAGCACTCCTCAGCAGCAGTGCTGGGGCTGAAGTAGAGGCCCAGGACCTTCAACAGTCCCAGCCGGCCGCTATTGCCCCCGGGCCTCTACTTCAGCCCCAGCACCACCACCTCCACCAAGGAGTCCTATCTCATCCTGCGCTGTGGCCAGCTGCTACAGCGCAAAGCCCCTGCTGACCTGTGCTTTGCAGGCTTTGCCACACCCAGCTGACCGTAGCCATTTTCCTCCTGCTGCTGATGAGGTGCACAAGGCCTAGTGCTATGTGAGGCAGCTGCTGGCTGCATCAGGCCTTCCTGAGGCCACTCACGCAGTTCTCCAGATAGTGTGCCCAGTTCTTGCAATGCTTTGGAAAGCCTTAGAAGTGCTAAAGTGGAGGCCCGGGGGTGGCTGGCTAAGGCTGCAATGCAGTCACGTGATGTTTTGCCTGATAACCACATTGCTTAGCGATGGAAATTCCAGTCCTCTTACTGTCATAACTCAAGGACTACCTGTACCGAATATATTGGATTAAGGATAGGATTTTACATGAAAGTATATGTTTATTTCATTTACCCACTTTCTACAATATGCGTCCAGTGAGGTTTGTTTTGAGAACTATGACCCCTGAAAATATGCTAGTGAACTCAGTCCATTTTCCATGATATCTAAAGATGTATTACTGAAAATAAGTGATATTTTAACTTGCGTAGTCTGTGTGTTTGTCTGGAAGCAACACAGACATCAAAGCTGCATGTGATCATATATCCCAATGTTAAAGCAGTTTAGTGATTTTTTTTCTTTTTTTATCCTGAAAAATATTTCTTTACATTAAGCAGATATTCAGACAATGAACCACTGTATACTGTTTCAATTCTCAGGAGACAACATGACTGTTTTAAACACTGCAGACTGGTTGTTGAGTTGCAGCACTCCTTCTTCTGCAACAAGTATGAGCAATCCTAGCATAATGCATGTGTGTGGCTGCATTGATGATTTATTGTGTTGACCATCTGATATTTTGCTTTATTGTTTTTGCTTTGTAGCTGCGTACCCTTCTATTTCTTAGAAATCTTTCTATAAATACTGTGCAAGGAATTTGTAAGATTTTGTCGTAACAGAATTTCTGCTATATTTTACATCAAGATATAGTATATAAAATAAATTAAAATAAAGAGAAACTGACATAAGTTCAGCCTCTGGAAGAAAAAAATCACTGTGTATGGAGGAGAGTCGATCTGTGTACCACATACATATCACTATAGCATGGATGTGGGTCCAGTATAATGCTAATTACTGGTATCTTAGGTATTTGGAAAAATTTTATAAATGTAATTAAGAGCAGCTGTGAGTTTTTGGAACAACCAGGACTGGGGATATTCTCTCTTTAGTCCTGAATGGAATTATATTTCCCCCTTCGGAACTGAGTTCTATTTGGGAATTTTCTTTAACCCACAGCCACTCATGCTGGGGCCATCTTGCATGTAGACTATTGCAATGCACTGCACATAGGGCTTGAAAACTATTTGGAAGTTGCAGCTGGTCCAGTATACGGCACTAACAATTATGAGTATGCCGCATCATGCCCATGTAACACCTTTGCTTCATGAGCTGCAGATTATCAGTAGATTTATGGTTACAGTTCAAGGTGCTGGTTTTCAACTATAAAGGCTTTCATGGCATAGGGCCTGGTTATCTAAGAGACCTATTTTCTGTAGTTTCTCCCCATCTGTATGATCAGGCAGAGTTGGCATGCTCCAGGTCATCTGATGAAATCTGGGAAATGTGTTTTCCTGTCACAGTGTCTGTTCTCTGGGCCAAGATTCCCCTTGAGATCTATTGGGCCCCTACCATGACCATGTTTATAAGAGCCCTTAAAACCTGAGTCTTCCCCCAGGCCTTGGGTTAGACTAGATGGTGGGTCCTATGTATTGTATTGTTTTTAGAATAAACGGTCTTCTTCTGGATGACTTTCATTTTTTACTTTTACTTTTTTTAGTAATGATTTTTTTATTATATGCCACCAGAGTCATCATGGAGTGGGGTGGCCTTATAAATTTATTAATAAATAAAATAAATATGTAGTAAATTACAGATGTAATTCAGTGAAGTATATAGTTAATGTATTTGAAGAATTCCTTCCTCAAATTTTCTGAGAAAAGGAAAATAATTCTGAAGAAGAAAAATAATTACGTTTAATTAAGGTAGTGATTTTATTTAACTACATATTACCTGATTAAAAGTTAAAAATTGAATTGACAATTTAATCATACTTAACGATAACTGATCTTAGATGTAATTTAATTATGCTTCATCATTACCTCCACAAATCTTTTGTTAATGTGCTCTTACTTCCTTTCTCTTCTGGACTGGCTATGAGGCAGAGATTAGAATTGCTGATAACAATAACACAGTTAATTTGTATTTATGAACCTGAAATTATTTTTAGTTTACACTATACTTTTGAAAAGCAGCCCATAATAAATAATCCATGGTTTAAAGTTATCTTACTTTCTTTAGTAGAGAAAAAGTTTATCTTGCCTCTGATATAAATTTCAGTTAGTTAAAATGGAAGCAAAAACTATTTTGCTATTTATTTAAGTTTTACCTGATTTTGGTTAAACCTTATATATTCTCTAAGCTTTTATAAATATGAATCTGGGTTAGTAGTGAAACTGTGAGCCATGTTTTGTGTATGATTTATATGCAAAATATGTGCTACAGACATAGATATGAAAAATATGTCTTCCAGGTAATTAAACAACAAAGGAAAACCCCATAAATACATTATGCTCTACATGGAGAGCTTGGGGATAGAGTTGTCTGAGTTTATCACTTTTTACCTAAGACATACATCAGTCCGTAAGAACAAATTTTAGAAATCAAAAAGAGGTGGGATCAAGAACCTGAAAGAGGAAAAGGAAAAACCAAAAAAATCACTCTATAATACAGTGGTACCTCGGGTTACGAACACCTCTGCTAACGAACTTTTTGGGTTGCGACCAGCTCCGGCCGCAAAAATTTACCTCGGGTTACGAACCGGATCTGCGGCCATTTTCCGCCCGTTCCACGTGGTCCGCGGCCATTTTCTGCCCTGCCGCGTAGTCCGCCGCCGTTTTTCCGCCCTGCCGCGTAGTCCGCCGCCGTTTTTCC